GCACGCACACATATACTTAAGATCTTTAAGGAAACAACCATATTCTATGTGAACAAGAACTGTAGCTAAGACAAACCATAAGAAAATTTGTCCACATAAATTGTTGCCATGTTTTGTAAAATAACATCTCAGATGGCTGTTTGAATGAGTAAACATTTCTCCTCCTTATGCACCCTTTTATAAATAGAAGCCCAAGAAGCAATTGATGCAAATAAAAGTGATGACTTAGAAATGTCATACTTTGAAAATTTGCAAACATAATAACTTACATTCAGTTGAAGATTTTGATTTTCTAGTTTTTATCTTTTCAGACAGAAGAGTCAAAGGTGGACTTTGAAATAAAATCTTTTTAAATGCATAATTGTGACTTATTCCCAATTAATAAGGTTATTTTTAGTGAAATGATGTGAAGGCTAGAATTCCAAGGTGGGAGTCATAACTTCTAAGATTTAAGATATTAGAACCCTGATGCTATGGTTTTAGTGATAGGAGTTATTGACCTGTCTCCGGTTAATTAGAGGAAAGATGACATGAAAGTGAAGGTGATATGATTAACATTTTCAAAATAACTATTAGAGACACCATTCAGCTAAAACAAAATGTGATACATTGGTTAAAATGTATTTGGTCTAGAACTATTGTCATACTTAGGTGGAAGAGATTTTTAAAACATGTTTGTCACATCTCTATTAGGTGGTCAGAAGAATATGCAAAATCTCATCATGAGCAACATGGGACCTTCCTCCAAACTGAATAAAGTAAATGAATGTCAATTTTTAAAATGGGCCATTTTATCTACCTTGACTATTTCATTAATCATCTTAAAGATATCTTACTTTATTATACTCCTTTATCGCTTAAAAAGTTTAATGAAAATAATATTAGTCTGCAGTTTTTAGCATGAAGCCAATAAAATCTCTACTTTTTCATTATGATCCCATGGCAGACTCTGAGCTGAAGGGTGAGAAACTGGGAAGAGTCTGTGGCTCACTTTACGTGGGAGAAATACATTTCGGTTTTTCCAGAACGGAGGAATGCCTGTCCCCAGGCTGCACAGCTCATTGGTGAGAAAGCTCTTTTCCACGCTAACTGCAGCAAAAGCCCAGTCAGGGTGAATGGAAGAGAACTCTCTCCTGGCAGAAATAATCAGGTCCTCTCAGGGGACGGCAACACATAACTGTTCTTTTTCTTTTCTTGTGTATTAAAATGTAATGCTCCCTAATGTCCATAATTGTATGACTTTTCGGTTGTATTTTTCCCTTCAGTTTTATGGATGATGAAAATGATGTTAAACAATTGTTCATTGAATAGTGGCATAGTTAGTTTAAGGTCAGGCTTTCCTTGAAAAAAAAAAATACTACGTTATGAACATGAGAGGACAGAGCTATGCTACTGCTGAGGCACGATATTTGGAACGTCTGGTCTGAATCTCAGACCCAGCAACAGAAGACTCCGCTACAAAAGCCAGAAAAAACATGCCTCACAGCATCCTAATTACCACCAAATTCTTACCTGGTAGCCAGAGTCATTACAGGTCATGTAGCATTTGCCACAGTTGATACACATTTCTTCATCGATCATAGCCACGACTTGCTCTGTGTTGCTCAGTTCACCAAATGCCCCAAGGTACTGCAGTGCCTTTCCAATTACATCCTGAAAGAAAGGCATGGAATTACTTACACCATTATTTTAAAACATTACCACGTAATAATTAATATCAGTCTAAATCTCTCTGTTTTTATACAGTGTTGCTTTAAGTAACTTAGGAGACTTTGGATAGTGTAGTTTTCATAGATGTATCTTTCATAATTGTAGCTTAAATATTTCCTTCTCTTGAAAGATTATATATATGTATGTGTGTGTATAATGTGTGTGTATCTTAGAAACACAAGACCTAATTAACTGCATTCTGTAAGTTTTCTACAGGCTAATCTAAAACGGTGTTTCTGTGGACAGAAAAAATGGCACTCTTTTCAGTGGTCGTGGCTTATTTTTTCTCCATTTTGGACTTTGAGGGATACAAAAGTAATGAAAAGTGACAAAGGGTGATGCACTTCTACTAGAAAACTTTAGATTGCTAGGAATGAAGGGAATAAAAATGTAAATGCTATGCATTTATATCACTGCATTTGGATTCCACATTTTCATTTAGAAAAGTGCTTCGATAGCATACCCACCTGTCATATCTTGAAGAGTACATTGCACTATTTAAAAATTCTAATTTATGTTAATTAATTAGGTTCACCTAATAGCTAAATAAGATGCTCTTTTACTTTTAAAGAACTAGGATTTCCTTTATTCACTATGGAAGATTTTTCATGGGGCTCCACATTGCTTTGTTTTCCATATTAATTAAAAGTATGCTTAATATGTGAAGCACAGAAGATGTTTCATCAACAATACGAAACACTTTGTTTCATAAAACAAAACAGAAGAATGTAACAATGTTTGTCTAATTAGTATGCTGTCAAGATTTTCTGCTTTTGTTTTTAACTTTTAACAAGAGAATCTTTTGTTTGAATTCAAGGTCCATGTTCAAGGAGGTTTGACTCTTTCGTATTTCCCTTTTTGCTCTTCTTTTACGACCTTGGTTACCCTTTTTTACTTTTTTCCCTCCCATTTCAGTTCTAAATGACAGTATGCTCATGACTTTGAGTTCTCAAACTGAAGCAAAGTTTACATTCTTATGGACAGTTTGTTTGTGCATCTCTCAAGGAATAAGAGGACAGAAAACGTACCATACTGTTGTCACTATTTTCTTTCCACTGTGTTGAGGGTATAACTTCAACTATACTGCAGTCTGTTTGTAGGTGGGCACTTGATGTCCAAATCAGGATCTCCGTTCTGAACTGCTCTCACAAGCTTAAGATAAACATTTCTCGGCTGGATGACAAACATTGTCACTAGAAATCGGTACCTCGAATTCACCACTCACTGAACTTATCATCAGCATCACAAAACTGTATCTTCCCTCTGATTTCCTTAGTTTTGTGAACAGTGCTAGGATTTTTCCAATCACTAAGGCTTGACATTTCAGAGTTATATTTCACTCCTACTTCTGCCTACTCCACTGTCTCATCTGCTGCCAGCTCTTCTGAGTACTGGAACTTTTGCATCCTCTTTCCATATCCACTACAATCTTTAACCATGGTAATTAATTTCCCATTACTTCTAATGGCAAGAGCTTTCTTGATAACGGTTCGTTCACATATTCTTCCTTTCCTACTCCAACCCACGTAACGTTGTCATCTTAATCTAGGCTGTATGACGCAGACTGAATTTTTCACTACCTTACACAAAAATCTGTTGAATTAAATGCAGTCTCACATTTAAGTCTGGCATTTAAGGCTTTCTACCAACACATGTCTTTTGGTGGTGGTTCCTACTTCCAAACACCGTGTGCTTCAGCTACACTGGACACATGCTGCATGCTGAACACACTTGTCAATCCTCTGGCGCCTAATTTTATGCTGAGTCCTTGTCCAGACCACCCTTCCCTCCCAGCTCTGCTTTGGAAAATCCTATCCATCTTCATCCTTGAAAGACAGCTCGCGTGCCACTACTCTATGAAGATTTCCTCAATCCTTCCTTCTCCTTTTCTAACCAAATCAAAGATATGATCTTTCTCTTTTACTTTTCTCCTCTTCTTTCCTCTACTCCTTCTTTTATCTTCCCCTTCTCCCTTCCCATCCTCTTTTGCTTTTCTTCCCCTAATGGTCTACTGTATTTTATCTATTATGTGGAACTAAGGACAACAGATGACTTTTAAGTTCTTACTGCTATCAGGCCAGTGTCATAATTGAAGCATTTTCTCACTTATACTTCACACATTTTATAGATGATGAAGTGACTGAGATTTAAGTAACAAAATTAAGTACGGTCGATCCTTGGACAATCAGGGAGTTAGGGACGCCAACCCCTGAGCAGTTGAAAATCTACATATAACCTTTGACCCAACAATAGGCCTTTTGCAACCACAGATTCAACCAACTGCAGATCAAAAACAATAGTATGTTGGTTGGGAATACAAAAACACTGTTTTTGATTTGCGGTGGGTTGATTGTGCTGATGCGAAATTGTGGATACAAAGGGCCAATTACATTTTTATTAAAACAAACAAACAAACAAACAGGCCTATGTGAACCCACGCAGTTCACACCTATGTTGTTCAAGGGTCAGCTGTAAATGATGGAGCAGAGATTCAGACAAGTGCTGCCTGACTTTAGGTTCTATGATCATAAGCATTCTGCCATGCCGACTCTTCTGTTGTTTCTCTATTTAGCATTTTCTACTTGGTGTTATAGATATTTTCTATATTTACTTTCCTGTGTGAAGTTAGTCTCTTAGTAGGCTTTATTCATTTTCATGTCTCGTATGGTGTATCTTGCTGCTGCATATCACTGAAACATAATGGGTACTCAAATATATTTTTGTTTATGTGCTAAATATACAGCATATTAGGCACATAGTTGTATGGGCTAATAGCTACTTTTTGATTTACTAAACATTTATATAATATGAGATTCACAAAAAGATTTGAGGACTTTTTACAAACTAATCATCAAAGTATCTAAATACATTTAATATTTTTTAATAATATTTTAAGACAGAAAATGCATGAGGTCACTCTCTGGCTATAAAAGGCCATTTATATGTGATAGAAAATATATCAGTTAAAACAGCTGTTTTGTTGAATCAGATTATGGCTTGACTAAAATTGCCAGGAAATATTCAAAAATTGATTAGACAGGAAACTCCCTAAATGGTTATGCTTATAAGACTTATTCAAAATAAACAATGTACAGTTCTAAGAGAATTTACTGTTATAGCAAGTTCACATTCTATGTACTTAAATATGCCTTTTGCACTATATTAGAGATTTGTTGTTGTCATTTACTAAAACATCATTGTTTAATGTGAAACTAAATAAAACAAGGTCCTTGGAGCCTCTGTAAGTTAATAGAACTTTGGTGTGAAAAAGTCGCCCTTCCTTTGTCATAATTCTTAAGAAAATTATAAATATTTTTAATCTGGAAAAGGATCAAAGAATGACAACCCTTTTAAATTATT